TATATAAATAAATACGCAAATATAATAAATTTAAAGCTAAAATAACGTAAATTAGTTAGTATAATTAACGTTATAATTAATATTAAATTTTTTAATTTGTAAAATAATTTGCAAAATAATTTACAAACTATTATTATTATAATTAACTTAATTATAATTAATATTTATAATTTACATATTAAAATATATATATATTTGCGTTTTTTTTAATACTTACAATATAAAAAAAAGTTTATAAAAATTTATATACGTATTATTATATATTTAATTTATTACGTATTTTAATTTTAAAAAAATAAATAATAATTAAATTTTTAATAATAGTTTAAAAAAATAATATTAAATATAATAAAATTAATAAAATTTACTTTTATTATTGTAATTTAATTTATTTAATTTTATAGCTTAAATAATTAAAAATAAAAATAACATTTTTTAAACTTTAAAACTTATTAATACTTTTATTTTTATTAAGTTTAATACTGTTATTTTTATACTTATTAGCAAGTTAATAGCTTACTTTGTTATTTACTTTTAATATTATTTTTTAAATTGTTATAAAACTTTTTAAGTAGCTTATTTAGTTAATATTATAATTAAATTTTTTTAATTATATATATTTATTATAATTAATTATTTTTAATTAAATATAAACTTATTTAAGTTTTTTTACTTAATATTTTAAAACTTTTTAATATGCTTTATTATTAATATTTTTAAAATAATGTTTATTTAACGTTTTAATAGCTTTATTATAATTATTTTAATTATTATTATAATATAGCGCTGTTACTACTTTATTAAAATTTTTATAAATTATTTTACTTTTTAATTTATATATATTTTATTATTTAAATAATAAAATTATCGTTTTTTTATAAAACTGCTTTTATTTACGGCTAAATTTCGTAAAAAGCTTTTTTATATTAAAAAATTTATTATTAAATAAATTTAATTTATTTAATTTTTTCGAAATAAACACGAAAGCAGCAGTAAGCTTTTTAAAATAAAAACTTTAAGCGTTAAAATTTATAGCTTAAAAGTTACTTTTTTAAATTTTTTTATAAAAGTTTTAATTTTTAATATATTTATTTTTAAACTTATTAATTTTTAAATAGCTTATTATATAAATGTTAATAATATTAAAGTTTTTAAAAATAATTTTTTTTTTATTTTAATTAAAGCTATTAATAGCTAATAAATCATATTAAACTTATGCTATTTTTTTAATATAATTATACTTATTTTTAACTTGTTTTTAGTTAATATCGGTTTTAAAATAATATATTAACGTATTTTTAATATTAATAAATGCTTTTTTTTTTAACTTTTTAAACGTAGTTAAAAGCTTATTATTAATTTGCTTTTTAATACTTTTTAATAACGTAATTTTAAAAGTAAAAGTTTAACTTTTAAATAGTTATAAATAAATAAAAATAAAAGCTTAGCTAAATAACTACGTAAATAATTTGTTAAGTAGTTAATTAAATAATTACGTTAACATTTAACTATTAAAAAAAATTTATAAATTTTAAATAACTTTTATAATAAAAAATAAATATTATAAATTAATAAAATACTTGCAATAAAGTAATAATTATAGTAGTTAAAAAAGTTATTTATTAATTAATTTAACTAATTAGTTTATATATAAGTTTATATGTAAAATTAAGCTACATACACGCTAAAACATTAAAGCTACATTATGAAATTTATTAATAAGCACAGGCTTTAATAACGTAAAAAAGTCAGCAATCGTAAAGTTAAAAATAGTGTTAAAAGTTAAATATTTAAATAAACAATTTAAGTTAGTAGCATAGCCAACAAAAACAATTGCTATATAAAGCAGCTTTTCTACCAAAGTAACACAAACCTAAGCATAAGCCTGCTGAATGTTGCCAAACACCCCCTAAGCATCTCCACAACTTCTACATCATGTCGCCCGGTCGAGTCCTTGTATGAAAATAGTTCAATGGGTCTCTATGGGGTATTCAGCCCCCCAAAGCCCCCCGGACATGTCGAGGGGACAAATTCGTAATGAATGGCTCACTCACACTCAGGGCCTGAGCGAGCGGATTGGTCCATTTGTAGATCCTTACCCCGTCAGCCGGCATCTTGGGTGCTTTGGGTCAGATCTCTTTTCTTGAACCAGGGCCAAAAAAAAAAGCATGGTGTCTCTTTCTATAGGAACTGGGAGATAATTTGGCTCCCTGCTCATCCGCATGTCGCGTGTCTGCAGGTTGCTCAGCTTCTTTCTACTGCGGGCCCTCTGGACCGAATCGTATCTTCTCATTCTAGCAAGGGGGTAGAATCTATATCATTCAAAATGCCGGCCTGCGCCAACCCAACGCCGCAGACTTGGGTCGCCGACCCTGTCGCAACGTTGGACAGATAGAAGAAAGTCAAAATGCTGTGCCACGCGGCTACACGCAGCCCTACGACGCTTGTCATCGCCCTCCTCGCCATCTTCACCCGAGCAACGGCTACCTGCTACCGCCCAGATGGAAGCGCGGTGGACGGCGCGTACCAGTCACTTGACGAAAGCGCCGAGTTCAGCGCGTGTTGCCGCCCCGGTACCACCCACAATGCCGATCATGGCGACGATAATAACAATCTCGAAAATAACGACGACGACACCCCAACAGGGCTTTGCGCTGGGCCGGGAACACAATTGTGGAGGGGGAGCTGCACGGATCCGACGTGGACGTCGCTGGCGTGCTTGAATATTTGCGTAAATGGAGATTGTTCGTCACCTTTTTCTTCCATCGGGCGTTTAGCACGCACTATAAATTAAATGCTAACAAACCATATCTTAGACGCCGCCGCCGACGAGGTAGAGATAACAACCTGCAGCGACGGCAGCTTCTGCTGCGGCGCGAACAACACCGATTGCTGCGCGCGCGGAGACGGGGTATTCGTGACTGGGAACGGCGAAATAATACCTGCTCCGCCAGCACCGGCATCAGCATCAGCACCACGCCAACCGAAACGCGCCGCAGAATCACCATCACCCTCTCCCCCACCACCTCCTCATTTCCTATCCGCGCGCCGCATCGCCCGCCGCGCCCTCTCCAGCGAAGCCATCACCGGCCTCGCAGTGGCGGGCGCCTTCGGCGCCGTGGCCCTCATCACGGTGGCGGTGTACGTGCCGTCCAAGTGGAAGACGGTGCGCAAGCCGAGCGACCCGATGGCGGCGCTGCCGAGCGGCGCCCTGCCCTCGCACCACGCCGTCAGCCTGCCGAGCAGCGTCGCCCTGGTCCCGTCCCGCAGCTCCGAGCCCCTCTACTACCACTCCACGCCCCTCTGGGGCGCCACCTACGGCCGCACCGAGCTCGACTCTGCGGCTCGCCCCCAGGAGCTGCCGGGGTGTCCGGCGGGCGCGGAGTTGGCGGGGGTTAAGTATGAGAGGTGGTAGACATGGGGAGGGAAAGGGTGGAAGGGGGCAGTAATGTAATGGTAATGCGAGAGTAATGTGAATAAAGATAAAGTTATGAATAGGAATGGTTCCCTTTGCTGAGTCTAATATCTGAATGCTATCATAGACCCGTCTATGTAGATCTCTTGTGTGTGTGTGTGTGTGTGTCAGCGAGTTGATATGCTTCTTGGGTTTGCCCAATGTTCAAGTTGTGAAGAATTATGAAGAACATTTTTATTTTTATTTTTCAACCTTCCCTTCCTCCCTTGATGTACCACGACGGTTATTATATATATATATATAGCATTATCACACCTAGCTTTATGGATAGTAACGTTCTGCTGAACTCTCCAACAGCATGCTTATTTTATAGGAATTGCCTCCCGCCTTTCATCTCCTATGACAATACTGTTAGATGATTAGGTGTTTATCATCATTGTTCAAGGTATTATTAGTACTTATTCATCCCCTGTTTTCCTTAAGGGCTCCTACCTTCTTAGTACATGTTTAGATGTCAGTTATATGAACTTAATATGCAGTATTATTATAAAGCTCCTTAATTACATATATCTATCTATACGTGGAAGGGGGGGCGTTGTTCCTACCTTATAAGGCTTGTGCTACATGAGATCATTTTACGTACACCACCCAGCACGCGTTTAAAGTTTTAGATGCTCCTATAGATAGCTTTACCAGAAAGACACTTAAGCTTAAGAGCTTGTGTACCTACCTTAGGTAATATAGGCCTTAAGTTAACCTCTTGTTTCTATATTGGGATAAAAGCATTAAATTATCTAACCACAAAGGTATATATCCTGTATTGACGCTGCTCTTGGTTATTTGCACTACATATTTACTATATGATAATCATTTACCTTGGCCATGATGGATAGCCAGGACCCGTTTCGTGTCATTAAGGAAGACAATGACAGCAGATACCAGTATCCCTTAATCATTCTCCATACCAACCAATATACTCCAACCTCCAAGCAACATATATGTTACAATACAGCTTGAGATACACAGCAGTATACTTAGACCTTCAGACGAAGACCAATAATCTACAAGAACTACAGAGCATGATAGAATCCGCAATTTGCTATCGGGCTTGGGATATATTCCAGCACTTTCTGTTCTGATTTCTTTACTAGTCATGAACTGGAAAATGCTACCTAACGTCGATATAGGTAAATCATGAAAGGCTTTAATCATGTTATTGCTTCTCTAGCTTCATGGAACTCCTTTGCATTCAGAAGACACTTAGGGCTCTAACTATATAGGCTCTAGCTAGATTTCATACATCAGTGTAGGTTATATAGTTGGGTACAGTAGCGTTGACCACATTGCCGACATGGTCTGTGCTTTATTTACAGATTTCATTGCTCTCGTTGGGAAAAGGACTCGGATCATATAGCGCACCGGGATCCGGAATCCGATCTCGGACGGCTGTCCGCAGAAAAAGTTTTCAGCACAATAGCTCGTAATTCCACCCACACCTCGTAAAAAGAGTCTATAAATTATAATAACAAACACACTTTCATCGATCGAGTAAGCTGATTCGTCTGATAACGAAATCAGTGGTCACGGGCTTGTGGTCTAGTGGTATGATTCTTCCTTAGCATAGATGTCTGAAGATCACCATCGTGTGGTTCTCTAATTCTGTACTTAACCTGGAAGAGGTCCGGGGTTCAATTCCCCGCGAGTCCAATCTTTCCTTTTTGAAGGTTATATTCCTTCTTTTCTATCTCTTTTTAGCATATGTTCAAGTCCCCGACTTGATGCCATTTTCGACTGATTCCCTAAACAGTTCCTACCTACAAATTTTATTGTCAAAATTCAAAGAGTAGTCGCTCATAATTGTTTAAGAGGAATATTAAACAAGCAAGTATTTATTTTGCGACTACATGTTCTTATGAAGGTGGCACATAGTTCGAAATGGGACTCCGTTCCTAACTAAGAAAAGTGCTTACACACGTGTATTTCATCTCATCGCATCTATATTGTACAGCGAAGTCGCTGCGCCCCATCCTTGAGGATGATGACAACTAATAGTATCAAGACAAATTTTCAATGAGTTAGGTTTTCCTCTCCTGGGCTTATTTAATGCTCATTTCCTTTTCACAGCATTTACAACTACTTTGGTCTACGATCTCTGCACGATAATTGCATTACTATTGGTTTACAGAAACGCCTAAGGTGAATGGAGAAATTATTACAAAAAAAACACCTGTATTTACAATGCCGGGCTATTCAATGACTTCGGGCGGGGAAAAAATACCCTTCATGCCTGAAGAAACATCAGGCCAACGACGACCAATCGAAGGAACCGATAGACCGCACCCGAGAGTCTACGCGACGATGATCGTGAGAAAAGGTCTGCCGTTCGTTAACGGAGCACATTGGGGTTTATTGCTGTGCACTTCCTTCTTCGCCCTGCTAAGACGGCGATGGTATCTAACTGCGAGTCTCGGTCAAGAGGTAACGCCTATTAAAGTGCCACCTTACGCTACGGCCTGGGTATTGCGGTTCTCAACGCTTCTCTTCGTTTTCTCACTCAGGGGATGCCGGCATCTGTCAAGACATCTAGAGGGCTGCCCGCATAACATGGAATGCTTTCCCGAACGCCTCCGACATGCACTATTGAACGGGTTCTCTGCTGTCAGGTCTCTAGTCCAAATCCTTGTGGCCGTTTCCCTAACAGGCGAGACATACTTTTGGGCGTTGACGCCCACCTATCAGCGAGACGCCGTGGCTCTCGACTTGCAGACCATATTCAACCCCGAGGTCCCGCCGTGGCTGTCCTTTTTCAGTGTCTTGCTGCTCATAGTGAACTTCACCGCGTTCGCCTACAGCGTTGCGGTCACTGCCATCACTGCGCTGTATCTCTATGTGTGGGTCTCTGGGTTGATATCAGGTAGCCAAAAAGCTGGTGCTGAGAAGGCTTTAGAGGAGGGACGACCAGACACAATTGCCGAAAATGCCGGAAATAGAGAGTTCCGCGTAGAAATCACAGAGTATCTCGAAGAAGAGATAGACATTGTATGAGATACCGACCAGTAGGCAACAACATCGCTATCAGTTTCTTGAGCTCTCGGCTGCCATATTGAAACGTAGGCGGATATAATGAAGCCCAATACGATCGAGATAATAAATATGCCCTCCTTGTTATTTACCTTAGGAATATCGGTTCAATATCTCGACATACTTTCTGAGAAAGGACGATAATCTTGTTCTATGCTGACATCAAACTACCCCCATTCATTCCGAGAAGACCATGACCGCATAATCCTTTCCCAAGACTATACTTTTTCCTTTTTCGCTAGAGAAAGAACAGTAGTTGAGACATGTGATGCTCGTACTAGGTCTAGAAATACATGGAATGAGGAATAATAAAAGAATATACAAACAACAATACAGAACTCGGATAAGGGGCAAAAGAAGAGCAGAAGTTCGTCATTAACCATAGAATCTATTGCCCCCGGCATAGCCCAATACCGAACTGCCGGGACTTCGACCCATTCGATCTACAAATTCTTCCGCGTTTATGTTGGGGACTTTTGAGTAACACGGCCTAAGTACACCAGCAATAAACGTTATTAGCAGAGTAGGTGGTCGATAGCGAGACATACACGACATCAGCAATGAGGGGCTCCCGCAGCTATGGTAGCCTCACCTGACTTCGCATTGAGGTTGCTTAAATATTTGGTTGGCTACCCAGGTACCTATCGAGTATTTTGGGTCAGCAGAGAGATAACAGGCTATGCAAGTTTATACAGAGCAATTATCACATTAATAATGGTAAGCAGCTGCACATAAGTTACGTGAGATACCTCAGTGTAGCACATACCTCTATGCAACAATTGGTGCTGTGCTGATATATGAGGATTGATTGATGCTATTTATTGACTATATATGGGTTATAAAAGATGACGAGCAAGTTAATTTACTCGGAACTGAAGTTAATTATGTATATAAGCAAGTATGCGTTGACAAGGACAAGCCCACATGGGAACGTTACAACAGGTCATATGTTAAACGTAAGGATCACCAACATGCCAAACTCTACTTGGTCGTATATTATCTTGCGATCCAACACCTCACTCACTAGTGATGCATATACGATGCCATCCAGGTAGGCGTTAGCCCTTCTCGAATCCAGCACACACCAGTAAGCCCTAGTGGTAGGGCGGCTTGCAGCCTGCGTCGAAGTCAACTTCTTGGATTGAAAATGGTAGATAGGCTGCTCAATTCTCTCTATATATCCTAAACGGAACATACTAAATATCCCACAAGTATTGAGTTTTTGAGTGAGCAATTTCAATGGACTTTCCAAAGTCTAAAAAGGAACCATGGGTATCTAGGAGATATTAGAACAATTGACTAGGTAGCTGAACTAGTAAGCGAGAGCATCAGATGATGGGAAAGGAGATATAATAATAATTATGATATTAAGAGACCCTTATAAGTCTAACCTAATGCAACGTTTTTTCTCTCTCTCGCCGTCCCGCATATATCTTCGTACTTGTACACCCCACCCCCAGACGCGAGCGAACACATGATCAAAAATCTTCCGATCTGACAGTATGGGGCGTCTTGCCTATTGATATTCCAGCCCTTCAGCCTCAAGTCCATTCAATCCACCCCCCTTCTTCCAGAACTAGTAGCTTCTTTTCCCCAGGGCCAAGCCTCATCAAAGTAGGCTATTATAACTACTTTCCACCCCCTCCGCCTCCCCCTCTTCCACACCATCACTCGTATTCAAGCCACCATCCACTATTAACTGCCAACTAGCGAAGGCAAACATGCCAGAAGCCAATGACGCCGATTCGCTACCGACGGCCGCCATGGTCCAGAACATAGAACTCTTTTAGACATATTCTTCTTTTTGTGCCTTGGCGTTTCTACGTATACGGGACGGGAAGGAAGAGGAAGTCCATGCTCGGATTATATGCTCAGCTAGCTAGTTAGGTAAGCTAACTGGCTAGCTACGTGGGTAGGCAGAGGTAAGGCGTCGACGCCTGATCCAAGTGGTTATTTTTAGCTTTACCCCCGTACACTCCGTACGGAGAAAAGAAAAAATTCAATAGATCAATAGGTCGGCGAGCCGAGAAAACGGTCAGCATGAGACACATACATACACATAGAGAGAGAATCCGGGACCATGGTTCATAATCTCATGTCGGTTCTCGGCTCTCTCGGCTCTCGGCTTTCTTCTATGCGTGTATATGGAATAAAAGGGAAACGAAGAAGAAAAAACAAAGGAAATCGAATGTCATAGTCTGTGATATATAGATATATATATACCTATCTACCTATAATAATGCACAACTAAATATCGATTTTATACCAATATTTATCTAATTAAGCATAGGAGAGAAGGCTGAAAACGGATAGAGAATACAAGAAAAATATTCCTTGACAACATCTTATTCACCTAGGTATAGCCACCCTAGAAAAAAGGACGCCGGCGGCGGCGGCCGGATCACGTAACATCGGGTTCTCTTCTTGCTTGTACGACGTTCGTCTTGTTGCCAATTTGCGGGGAAAGCTAGGCTAAGCTTCTTTTTCTCGGTGTTTGTTCTGTATGTGTGTATGTATGTGTGCGCTGTTGTAATATCATGTGTAATGTTGTCATGCTGACATTTTCTCTACTCTTTCTCTCTTCTGTCCTATTACCTTCATGCCCCCGCTGCCGCACGTGGACTATACCACGCCTCTTTCTCGTTCGCTGGGTCCTCCCTTCTCCTAATGCATGAAGGCTATTATCATTATTATTTTGGTGCGATGAGCTTAGAGGGCGGAAACTTGTTTTTCTTTTATTATTCCTTCAGCCCTTGCTCCCCTTTCCCCTTTTGCTTAAAGGCTTCACTAGTAAACACGCCCCCATCGTATAGAGCGGAGTCTCGGACCCTTGTTTTAGTCTCGTAAAGTGCCTTTTTCCTTTCTTTTATTCATAGAGCCGAGTAGGAACAGAGAGACAGACAGGGAGAGGGAATAGGTTATGTGTAACACGAGGATATAGACTCTCTCTACATGGGAAAAGGGGGGTTGGACAAGCAAGCAAGTGATCAAGATCGGCTTAGTCGAGGAGGATTCGATCTTCGATTTGATAATAGCTCTGCAAGACAGGACAGAGAGCTAAGACGTGACTGGGTAGATACGAAGACCGTAGATGGAACATGGAGAGAAGGGGAGAAGAGTGTGAGAAAAGAAAATCATCCCGTGCCACCTCACTACTCGGTGAGCATGAAGGCTAAGTTTCCCAACGCATGGCTGCGGGACTATGGGCTTAGGCTTTCAGTTAGTCTCTTCTTTTTTTTTTCTATTACTTTTTCAGTAAAGAGGTAAGTATGTGTGTATGTATGTCTGGGGTAACGGACCTCAGCTGAGCTAGAACGTCCTACGGCCCGCGCAGGGCAGAGGCAACAATGGGCTGGTCGCTCTTCCCGTCTCACTCAGCTTGGCAGACATCGATCCATACAACCATAGACATCGTGTGAGGAAACGAAAAAGTAACGAGACGCAAACTTGAATATAAAAGGACTCCGATATCTCACTCCATACTTAGTATCTTCTCTCATCACCATCACTACCATCCTCATCTACAATCACTACTACACAACATCATCTCCTATTACCACCACCCTTAGCTTTCGCTACTACCACCAACTACCCACCAACAACCGCAAAAATGAAGTTCTTCGCCG